TCCATTTCCGAACAAATGTCCCCAAAAGCTATGTTACAATGTTTACTATTCATAGCTTATTAGATATGTTGCGTCATCGAGATCACGTGACAATTCTCACGCTCTCTTGTTTCTAGAACTATCCCGTATCTTGGCGAATGGTCTAGTATTTACTAGTAGGGTAGGCTGGTATATATATATAAGAGGGGAAAACGTGACGCGGTAATGTAAGGTAATGTGTGTGTAGACAGTGAGTAATTGAACTGCAGTCACAGAGTATTGTTGAAGTTAACGTTCGTGATACTGTTTGTTTTAGCGCGAATATTGAGATTAAGTGTATCGCAGAGTTATCTTCGGAAAGAATAAACTAGTTTTATTAATAAAGGAGTTGTGTCGCTTAAGTTTCGTCGGAACGAAGTTACGGAAAGTTAATTAACAAACGGAGACGTAACAGATACAACAAATTTCAGCTTCGTTTATGGTCACGTAAGGAACTTGTTATTTGACTGAGTAATTTCCAATCACTTATCAAGGCTCAGCATTTGAATAATGCTTTGAGTTTAGGGCTTAAAATAAGAGCTTGTGGTGTCTTGGTAGACTGAAACCTCCTTATGCGTTGGGGAAAACCCACGAACACGTATATTAATTTCCATTTATGCAACCTTGCCTTTTGAAATTTTTGATTGTATCAAGATATGGTGTATTCCTGATATTCAGTTACACTAAAAGTCTATATTACTGTCATTTTGAGAAATAGTTAAAGTATCCAAGCGTATTATAAGTTAAATGCCAAAACACATTAATACGTACGGGAACAATTTTTATAATGGGTGCTAAAAACTACTTAACATAATTGTAACGCCTGATATGACAGAAACTACGCATTCGAAAGCTATTATGTTAAAACGTATTAATAAAATGAAGTCAACATCAACACATGTTTATTTATTGAAGCAAATAATAATAATAATATCAATAACATTTTACCATGGTTCTTGATATAATGTTCACAACAGGTTTATCAAGAAATACTGAAAGCAAACAAGTCCAAAAGTAAATCATTATACTGCTGTTCTAACACCACTAGAAGGTGCCCTAGCACATGAGTACTATAAGCCAAGAGGTGCTGCCACTACTTAGCACCTCTAGTTTTTACCCTTTTCCAAACATATTTCTTTTAAGTAACGTTATGATTGAAAACCCAAAAGATTCATCCATAAATGACTATATTGTTTCTAATAAAATAAAACTAAAAGTATGAATTTTGTGGAGGGTTAGTTAAATTAAATTAATTCTACAAATAAACTAAATTTTGTGAACATCAAGGAATATGTCGAAATTAAGCATTTTATCTAATACGATGTGTTAGAAAAGAATATTATTGTTACGCCTCCGGTCGTTAGTTAATTTCCATATAATTTCTTTCTGATGAAACTTTAGCGATACAAGTCCTTTCGTAAATAAAACTGGTTTATTCTTTCTAAATACAACTTTGCAATACATTTAATTTCCACAGTCACGCTATAACAAACACTATAATTCACAACGCACGTCTCACGTGCTCGACTCAACGATACGTCTCTCTGTGTCCGCATTTCAATTACCCATTACCTTGTTGCCGTCACGTCTTGAGCGTCTTATATATAAAAGAATACCGAAATCTAGTAAACGCTCGAGTATTCAGGAAGGGACAGGATCCTTCTAGAAGTTCATGACGTGTTACTAGGGTCACGTGACTTCCGCTGTCGTAACATTATATTTCATGTTTGTCGCAAACAGAGTGAAAACGTAATCGTATTACTTTTCACCAAAATGCGGACCCTTGTATTTGATCTTAGACTTACATCAGCGTAAAATAAATAAAAAATCCTCTTAAGAGTAAAATAAGTATATCTTAGCTTTATAAATAAATTATTACGAGGCTACCCGATTCACGCGTGTTTTGCATATATAAGAACATAAATTTAAATATAAAATAAAAACAGTGGAACTGCAGTGCATAACATTACAGCGCTGAAATTAACTGTGACAGAAGTAATAAAGAAAGAAATATTATCGATTTTAAAGCATTTCATTTAGGTTTTACTGTAAATTTTGAAATTTGTAGTTTATTATTGACCCATTTATTCTGTAGCTATAACTGGATATATATTGTTCGTGTTCCATCTTTTTGTATTTTTCTTTTATTTCAGTTGCCCTCTTTTTTTTCACGTAAAAATTGAATTTTTGCTGGATTAGAAATTGCTGCATAGCTGGTAGGCCTATCGATCGTAACTTAAGTTTAAGTTGTAACGTGTAGGAACTGTTATTGTTTGAAATTCAGGCAAAAAAAGTTGAATAAGTTTTGACGTTTTCATGTTGCGAGAGAGAATTTGCACTTGTTGATTTCAGTAGGTAAAACATATGCTTTGTTCAGAATATTTGTACTGGAGATTTAGAATAAAAGATTATAGAATTAGAAGTTATTTAGTTACTAATTCAGATTAGATCTTAGAAGTTAGAGGTAGAATAGAAGAACGAGAAAGTTGGTGAAATGGATGCATGAGAAAAGGTTGGCTGAAAATGTTAAAATTAACAATAAGAATTTCTTTAAATACATTAAAGGTAAACAAAATGTTAGGATGGGATAGAACCCTTGATAAAGGAGGAAGACTAGTATCTGATGATTATGAGATGCCTGGGTTATCAAATTTTGATTTTTCTTCGGTATTTACTAACGAAGATTTAAACAGTATTCCACATCTTAAACAGTTGATAAATGGAAACGAGATCAAACAAAGTGATTGCATTAATTCTGAGCTGGTTAAGAAAAAATTGGGAAATTTAAAAAAACGATAAGGTTCCTGGGCCAGATAATATTTCTCCAAGGGTTTTAAAGGAGGTTAAAGATTGGATATGTGAACCACTTACTACTATTTTTTGTCAGTCCTTGAAACTGAATAATGAGCAAGTAGGTACCAGAGGATTGGAAGTTAGCTAATGTAACTCCTCTTATCAAGGGAGGTGATAAAGATTGTCCCAGTAATTATAGACCCATTAGTATTACATCAGTTGTTGGAAAAGTTTTGGCAGGTCTGATAAAAAATTCTTTGCCATGTAATAACCTTTAGAATTTTATTGGATAGTCAACGTGGTTTCACTAAGGGAAAATCTTGCCTTACAAATCTTTTGTTATTCTTTGAAAAGGTTACTGCTTATGCATATCATATGTAAGTGTGTAGATTTGATGTATCTGGATTTTCAAATAGCATTTGACAAGGTGCCGCATAAAAGACTTCTAAAAATTATCTTTATAAGTGTGGGGGATAAGTTAGCAAATGGGATAGAAGAGTGACCAGATGGAAGAAACCAGAGGGTTCTTACAAATGGAGTTCAGTCAAACTGCATTAATTTCACAAGTGGGGCACCTTAGGGCTCAGTCTTGGGACCTCTGCTCTTTTGTGATTTACATCAATGACATAGATGAAAGAATGGTCAATAAATTCCTTAAATTTGCAGATGATATTAAGGTTTTGGGTGTTGCTAACTGTGAAGAGGATGCTGCTGATTT